CCGCCTGCCACAGCCAGTACCCGCCCTGAACAAACAGCGGTGACTCAACATGCACGCGGGGCAGAATCTTTTGGGAAGCAACACTGTGTGGCTCGCACCTTGCAGCACACACATGGGATCCGTGCCGCATTGCATGTCGCTGGGTCTGCGTCCAGGCAGCTTGCTCGGCCCCCGCCTGCTGCATGCTGATTGCATGAGGCCAAGGCCCGGCGGCCCGGCTGGGAGCGCCCCGCTCTCACACATAGGGACAACCCGACGGTGCTAACAGCCTCACTGCTGTGGCTTGCATCGCTCGTCACGGCCTCGTGCTTGCTGCGCCCCCCAACCACATCAGGCTACAGTAGCTTGTGGCTTGAGCGTGGGCCACGGCATGCCCACGTCAGCTTCGATACTCCAGGCACGGCCTCGGCCTGCTGACAAAGCACAAGAGCAGTCGTGGTTACTAACAGGTGCATGCACGACTGCTGGCATTGCTGCAGGGCAGGAACAGCAGCGCTTGCTCATGGTGCGGGGGGGTGGGGGGGGAGCCGCCCCCTCCCGCGGCTGGGTTCCTCGCTGACCGCAGCGTACACAGACCGGGCCACATACAGTCGGCCGTAGCAATCATGTTGCATCGTACTTTACATCTAGATGGTGTCGTGCCAAATCCCGTGGTCTGCTCTCAATTTGGCACAGTTGTGGAAGTGGGCTGTGAGTTCACGTTCGGCGGAGGGTCATGCACGTGAATTGGATACGTACAGCACGGCAAGTAAGATCCCAGCAGCAACAAATAACAAATTCACACATACCTTCGATACTCATTCTAGCATGGTAACCCTGTGTGACACATCCCGGCAAACCGACATTAGCGGTGATGCTATTCGAGCTGCTAAAATGCCGGGTACGATAGCTCACCATAACTTATGGAGCAAACGACGGCATGCAGATCACACGCGTCCGCCTGGTCACTGCGTCACTGCCCGCACTGCTGGGTTGCGCCACCACACTGTTGAATGTTTTGGAGTGAGGCCCCGGCGAGCGGTGTGGCAACCTCCTTCACAACTTCATGGCTTCAAACCAGGAGCCGGCCCCATTTCAACTTGTCCACTTCCTGCACATTCCCCGGTAAGGCGCCGGCTGCTTACTGCCCCCAATCCAACCGGCCTTCCGCCTTGACCGCCGTGGCCCAGGCACCCGCACCGCGCTGCCCTGCCGGCGGCCCACCAGCGCAAAGCACCTGCCACGCGGCTGCGCCGGCGCGTCGTGCCGCAGGGGCACGGCGTGCGGAGTGAAGCCACGCATGAGCTAAGCGGAGACGCATCCTTGTGGTTTCTGCATCAGGTGGCGCAGCCGGCGACTCTTGGCTGCCTTTGCTGCTTGATGCAGCAGCCGGATGTGGTTTCTGCATCAGGATCTAAGGGCAGACACTGATTCATCACACAGGATGTTTCACATCCAGAAACTAAATTGTCAGTTGCCTGCTGACCGCCCTGTGGTGGCTGTTTCAGAAGGGCGAGGAAACGCAAGGGTTGCGTCTGATCGCAGCGGCGGCTGCTGCAGCTCGTCACAGAATTGAACTGGCATCCGCAGCGGCCCCTTGGATCGAACACAAGTCCGTCGACCAAACAGCAATCTATGGCCATAGTAGATACCGGTAATGAGGGTTCAGCAGATCCTTCTGCGTGGGTCAATGTTTGCAAGCACTCGCTGGGTGGAGCTTGGGGATCCGGGCACGTGAGCACCCTGCAATGCCCGTGACTAAGGGCGCCCCAACTGCCTTCAGCTCATGGCGGATCCAATGTCATGCCGGCGTGGATCTGATGGAGTCACTATTGAATTTGTATCAGAACGTTGCATGCAGTGCCGAGATCCGATGCAGATCAAGCGCGAGGCCGACCACGACGGACAAATATTTCACGGCGTGGATTGCCTTCTATGTCATAAACAGGTATACACGCACTCCGCCGTCCCGCTGCCGCCCCAGGCTTCGAAGCGACCCTGGGTATTGGCGGCGCTCCGAGAATAAGTCGCCGTCCAACAGGGCGCACCACGCCTCCACCCAACCCCCCCGCGCCCCCGCGTGTGCGCCGCCGCCGCAGATTTCCACCAAGTGGTGCGCGGC